TATAAAATATTGTTTACTTTACAATATACTTAAATAAAAATAAATAGGTATAAATATAGTATAATATAAATACATTTTTGAAATAATTTTTTTACCTATATTTACCTATGCGTCCTATGAGGGCCAGGGGCCTGTTAAAACTTGTCCGCGGGCCGTAGTTCGGAGACCCCTGCCATAGACCTTATACTAATAGACTTGCCTATAGAGTAGCTGTCAGTAGTTGTAGCCAGTCAGACATACAGCAGTGATGTTCAGTATAATCACATCAGTGTTGTCATTCTCCAACGAATACGTCATAATATATAATAATTATTATGGTGCAGTCACAAGTCACACATGAAGAGCGATCGCTCTATCGATGACAGCTTTACGTGTATAAATGGCCAGTCTATTAGCATAAGGTCTATGGCCGATACATACCAATCCGGCCCTGTTAGTATCTTAATATTATGATTTATTTTGTGTAGATAGGTAACACTATTTCCCACAACAAAGTTCTCGCGATTCGGCCGACCGTTTCAGATAAAAATGTATTCGTAAAAACTATAATATTTAAAGTATTTCAACAAATATTTTTAATTAATTAATTTTACACAAACGTGTCGACACATTTATTAATTATATTATCGAATAAAAAAAAAATATATATATAACATAGGTATTAGAAAAAAAACATTTATTTATTTAAATTACAGCATAATAGCAAATAGCATTATTTATTGGTAGATACATATATTTTTAATTTTTTTTACATATTTTGATAAAAATAATTACAAATTTATGAACACAATATTTTGATTTTTGTATTACAATAAGTTCCAAAATTATTACATTGTTATTAATTAAGTACATTATTAGATTATTAGATTATTACGTTATTACATTATATAAAATGTATAAGTTATTATACAGAATATGAATAAAATCAGGGCTTAAATTAAAAAAAAATAATACCGTTTACCGTTATTTGGATACTAAACGTTATGATCGAATGACCGTTTAACGTTATAAAGAATTTAAACTTTATTCAATGTATGTGTTTAAACGTTATTAAAATTTAAACGTTATAAAAATTCAAACGTTATTCAACTTATGCGTTTAAACGTTTTACAAATTTAAACGTTATGAAGCGTTTACCGTTATTAACAATTTAGAGTTTACGTTTAAATGTTATTTGAATTAGTGTAAATTTTGAAACTGAACGTTTTTTTTTTAAAATAACGTCTACTCTTTATTGCTTAATAAAGAGTTAATTATTGTCTAGTTAATGTTTTTTTATATTTCCATCGAAGAAACCACAAGTCTTGAAATTAGACAAATTGAGGAATGTTATGTTATAACTTTCTAATAATTTTTTGTTAAATGTTATTTTGAAATTATATTACCTATATAATTAGTATATTTAGTATTTACATTTGAATATTTTAAATTTATATAAATTAATATTAAATTCTAACACACATACAGGAATATAGGATGACACAACACATAGGTAGGTATGTTAATTTTTGGCATTTGTAACTTTAAATAATAGCAAAATAATATAATTAATATAGGTAAATAAAGTATAAACAACATTTCTGGTTATGTTTGTATTGTTAGAAAGTATAGTAACAAGACATAATTATAAATACAAATGCTATTAACATTAAGAAGTAACTTTTAAGTAAACTACTAAATACTACGTAGTAACATTACAATTATATAATAATAAAAATATTAAATACAAAATACATTTTGAATCAATTACTATTTCCACGTATTATTAATATATTTTCAAGTATTTCATTTTCAATTGAGCTTCTCTGGTCAGATAAAATAAATTTCAAACCTGAAAAGCTTCGCTCTACACTCACCTAAACAAAAACAGTTGAGTTAAAAACAAATAGATAGGTAAAACAAAATATTTATTTTTCTTTGATTTGAATTTAATAACTAATTAATTAATATTTTAATATAATACCTGTGTGGCTGGTACTGCTAAGAGTATTTTGGCCAATTTAAACAGTTCTGGCATCTCATCTTTTCTTGCAATCCAAAACTGAACAATATCTTCTTTATAATTTAATCTATCTAATTTTGAAAACTCTTCCAACTGCGTTTTTAACAATGAATTACTATTAGAAACTTGTGAAGAGCCACTTGATAGTTTTCCAAAGGTGTATTAGAATTGTTTGACAGGAATTCTTCAAAATCATCACTATTATTTTCATCAATTCGATCATCAGTGATATCATTATCTATTTGTTCATCAATTGAAACTGTTTCTGAATTCTAAAAAAAAAGTTTTTTAACTATCTATTTTACTGTTTTAAACATTTTTAATTACAGATTTTTTAAGATAAAAAAATAATAAGTATATTTCATCAATTATTCATGTCAAAATATAATTATTTAAAAGATTGCTGAAAAAATGTTAGTAAGATAAGTAAGATCAGTAAGAACAGTGTATTTAGGTTTTTGTTTTGTGAGGGGTTTGGGGGGGGGATGATTTTATCCAGTAGCCCCGCTTTGGAAGATAGCCCCTATTCCCTAAGTTAGGACGCCGAAAACTTTTGCATATAATATACAGTCTAGGGGGGAGGGGGGTTCCAATGTACATTAAGATTTAAGATCTTTTAAAAGTCAATTAAAGACAATTATAAATAAAAAACTAAGAAGTGAATATTAGCCTAATAAGTAAGAAAAAAATAACTGGTAGGTATAGGCTAAATACTCATAAAATAATTAATTTAATTAATTTAAAAATAATATACTAATATAATTTACCTCAGTATATATCAATGATTCTTTTAATTCCCATATTTTCAAAAGGTGATTAACCGCTTTTTCTTGATTAGGAACAGTTAGTAAACACCTGTTCCGTGGATCCATACAAACTGCTATAAAATAAAAAAAATATATGAATAATATTATTCAAATGCAAAACATATACCAAATATACAATATAGTGGTATTACCTGAAATAAATATATCATTTTCTAATAATTGAACTTCACATGTTTTCATTTCATTTAGATATTGATAAAGATGAATTTATCCTGGATAATTTATTTTTGGTCTGAATCCAGATTCCATAAAAATCTCCTAAGGTTAAATCTCTCCTTTGCAGCATTTTAGTAGCTACATTGACTGGTTCGAGAGATGTAATCTATTCAAAATTTTAAGATTATTAATAAAAATGGTACCTAAACAATATTATTATTTATATATTACCAAAGATTCAATTCGTCTCCATTCACCAACGTTTAACCTTAAATCATTATTAATCTGTTGATGATCTTCACAGAATGTTTTCAGATCAATTAATCTGACTAACATTAAATACTTAGAACTCCATCTTGTAACATTATCAAGTATAGCCTGTTTTAAGCTATCTTTTTTTAACCATGCAACGTATGATGGAGTTCATAATATTTTCACCACCTATTATTTGTATCACAAACAAAAAAATCAACTGAATAAGTACATAATTATTTAAGATGAAAAAACTTTTTTAAATGATTATTTATGTAGAAATAATAAATAAATAAAAAAACCATTATCTTTTAATCTAATTTATTTATTTTGTTAATGGTTCAGTTATACGGGGGGATATTTTATACATGTTAACTTCCATCTTTTGATTTTTAGAATTGTTAATTCTTAAGTATACCTAGACCATATTAATTTAAAATTTCTGTTATTTTTTGTATTACTTAAGGAGTGTCCTGTACCCCTGTGGCGATTCAAATTTTCATTTTGAACTACTAGGTACTACATAAATACATAATAGGTACATAATGCAATATAATATATATTTATGTTTAACTTGAAAACTAATTTAAAATTTAATCTAATTATACTATTGATTTTATTATAAATATCTTAGCCAAGTAATAGAGAATCAATCAAGAAAAAATTATGTTTAAGACATAAGTAAGAGTTAATAAGTACTATATACTAAATACAAAGTGTATGTTGGACTAAGTAAGAGTTATAACTTATAACATAGTTTATATGTTAATTATAGAATTAATGATAATTTTCAAATTACTTTTCGTGCTTTTATTATGATGTTCAAATTTGCCGGTTGTTTAAGTCCATGTTCTATACATAGCTGCAACGTATGAGCTGAGCATCTAATGCATTGAGTTAATAATAATGATTCATAATTGGAGTTGAGAATTGTAGCTACATCTTGTTCTAAATTTTCAGCATTCAAATTCAGGTTCATTTGTCATAGCATTAACTTGATTATCAGATAAACCTTCATCATCGTCTACACAAATAATTCAAAATGTTCCTCGATAGTTAAATATTGTTTATAATTGAGTATTCAGCTTCAAAAAAAAAATTAAAATTAAGATAGTAGTTACCATTTAGGATAATATTTTCACTTTCCTCACTATCAGATTCATTACTATTTACTAGTCTCTTCGTTGTCATTAAATATACGGACCATTTTCACAATATTTGCTCCATTGTCACAGGTAATTGAAAACACTTGACGATTATCAATTTTGAATTTTTTTTAAATTTGTATCAACTTAAAAACAAATAACAAAAAATCAACTATTTTTATTAACATACTATACCTACCTATAAACTTAAAACTAACTATAAAACTATTACCGAGTGTTAAACTAAATCAATTTGATCAACTTAGCAGAAACGTTAGTTTTAAGAAGGTATACATTTAGTATTTACACATCATATATTATTTGCATATTATTACTTTCCACTTCTTTTAAATGTTCAGAAGTATGTCGCTCAGTTAGTTCTGTCATTTCGATTGTTTTTATAAACAATTTTAAATCTTTGAAATACTGAATGTTTACGCCAATAATAGATCTATTACACGTAAAATTTATTTTTTTTGTCAATAATTGAAGACATATTATCGGTGTTGACCATAGACATAATAGACATAATAGTCTGATTTCAAGGTGTTGGACGAGATCACCGAAGAGTTATACGTACGAGTACTTATTATATATTTACTATCTGATTAATATATTATGTCCGACAATAACAGTTTTACCGTGTGCGGAAGCTCGTCTGATATCGACAACGAAATAATGGAAAAACCGTCGGCGACGTCATCTACATTGACCAACGACTTACAGGTGGATTCGGATCAGTGGTCGTTCGATTTAGCGCCACTACTGTACCCGGATGACGAACAGTCTGAAGTTGGAATCTTGCAGGCGTGCGATAGCGCGGGCCATTGTCCATCGACAGACGTTGTATTTAATATGGAAGACCCCGACGCAAACACAACGGATTCAACGGAAGATGGCGCATACACGGTGGACGACCTTTCACAGAGGCCACGAATTGTATGCGCCATCAGCGAGCTCCGTAACCAACAAGAAACGACGACGTTATTGACTAAGACTGATTTCAAGGTGTTGGACGAGATCACCGAAGAGTTACTGGTGACGGCCGTAAAAAAATCGTTGAACGTACCACCAGTATCTTTATGTCCAAATGAACAGTCGTCAAGTGACGATGAAAGTATTACATCGCCTGTACCATGGATTATGGTACCGAGGGTCTTGGACAGGTTGTTGGAGTTTGACGAAGTGTCGTCAGAAATAAAAAACGCCAATACAAAGTACGGAATGCACCTGCAGCCTTTACCGTCGTGTCTGGTGAGTGCGCCTGAGCTAGAAAGCAGACTACAGCCGTGCGAGTCTCTTAAGTTCGACATATCGACACCGACAATTGTATCTGTGCCGAGCAACCCCGAGCTTCCGGATTTGGATGTCGAGACACTAGGTCCTGCAGAGATCTCATCCACAGCAAATCAAATGTCTAAACAGGTCGCCGGCGATAACTTCATACCGGAAGATCTTAATTCCGAGGATTGTATGACGGATATCGCTGTGATATCAGCTGGTGATGGTCCGGATTTGTCGCCTTCCACGTCCGGCGAGACGGAGTTGCCGGGATGGAACACCGCGAAAAAAGCGGATATAACTGCCGTTGAACGCGTTCGTCCGGTTCCACATCGTTCGTTTTGGAGGCGCACCAAAAAATTTGTAAGACGAGTGTTTTGCTGTGGTTCTACCGAAATCATTGACCAGTAAAATATATATCGTATAGTTTTGATCCTTCCTGTTTCTTTAGGTTCGATGGTTCTTTATTATAATATATAATTTATTTAAACTATTAAATGGATATATTTACTGTCCTGATCTTTTGTCAAATATATCATTTCTAGTTTCTGGTCATTCAACTAGACAGAGAGACACCTTTTATATGCCATTCCAGCGCACTTTATATGGTAAGAACGCCCCTTTAATTAGATGTATGCAACATGTAAATAATTTTAATGTCGATCTTTTTATTTGTTATTCTGTGAGTTCATTTAATTTATATCTTAGAAATTTATTCACTTAAAATATTTTTATACCTCCACACCAACCATTATATATATATTTTATACTATTGTCTATTTATATTCAACAACTACCATTATGTACATACTATTTTATGTTCCACATACTATTGTAATTGGGCTCGCCCGTTAAATTGATAAATAAATAAATAAATAAATAAATAAATAAATAATGTTTGTATGTACATGCTTTTATAATTAACATTACAGTTTATTGTACCATATTTGTATATTATAGCATAAAACATCAATTCTCATTACGTAATAATATTATGTTAATACCCTATTAATCATCAGAACCAAACATTATTAATACATTTTTTCTTTTTAAACTAAACAAGGGTGCCAGCAAGTGGGTGTCCCTTTGCTGTACAGTAGGTTACAAGTCTGCCACTGTATAATGGATAGTATTAAATTTGAATTCAATGATATAATATCATTGTATAAGAAAAACGATTCTGAGTGGAGACGGTATGTCAGTCTAGTTATAAGACATATTATATACATATCTATGGTATTAAACAAAAAATTGACCCATAATAGGTACCTATAATAAATTCCAAATTAATCATATCACAATATCTTTTAGGTACTTATAAGGCGTTATACATCAACAAAAACCGTGATACTATCATAGATATAAAGTAGTATACTTTAGAAGTTTCAAGTACCCACGAATAATATTATTCAACCACAATAAAATAACTAAAATAGTTATTCTAGGTTTTTTAATATGTAATTTCGTCCAAATTTGAACTTAAAATGTCTGTAACAAATAACTGTGTTCATATATTTTTTAGATTTTTTGGTAACAGAATTAACTACTTATGTGTGTTTTAAATTTTCAATCTTTAGATATAAAAGTTGAACATTTTATACATTTTTAACTACAAAATAATTATTCAATTTTAAATTTGATAAATTTTGTCAAAATTCGATTTTTAAATGCTTATAAAAAAAACTGTGCCTATGTATTTTTAATAATTTTCAACTGCTATTGTAACAATATATCAGGAGCCTTGTATTAAATTTTTACACTTTTTGGCCCAACAGATAAAACTTAATTGATATTTATAGAAAAAAAATTTAAAACTCAAAATGTCCGTAAACAGATCAAAAAGAGTCAAAATATTTTCATAATTTTATGGTGTATATAAAATGCTAATTTAAACATTCAGTGAAATGTTCATGTATCTACAGTTATTCGTTTTTGAATTACAACAAAATAAGGAAATCGCTACATGAGAAATCGAATGAATATCCAATGTTATAAAAATTTGAATTTCAAACACGCTCATTAAAATTTAATTTGACTTTCTTATAGACATTTTTTTTTTTTTGATAAAGGTAGATAATCTTATAAAATGTAATACAAGATTCCTTATAAGATTATCTACCTTAATCAAAAAAAAAATGTCTATAAGAAAGTCAAATTAAATTTTTATGAGCGTTTGAAATTCAAATTTTTACAACATTGGATATTCACTCGATTTCTCATGTAGTGATTTCCTTATTTTGTTGTAACTTGTAATTCAAAAACGAATAACTGTAGATACATGAAAATTTCACTGAATGTTTATATTAACATTTCCTATATACCATACAATTTTGAAAATATGTTGACTCTTTTTGAGCTATTTACGGACATTTACAGCTTTAAATTTTTTTAGTTTTTTTTTTCTTTAAATATCAATAAAGTTTTATCTGTTGGGCCAAAAAGCGTAAAAATTTAATACAAGGCTCCTGGTATATTGTTACAATAGCAGTTGAAAATTATTAAAAATACATAGGCACAGTTTTTTTTATAAGCCTTTAAAGATCGAATATTGACAAAATTTATCAAATTTAAAATTGAACAATTATTTTGTAGTTAAAAATTTATAAAATGTTAAACTTTTATATCTAAAGATTGAAAATTTAAAACAAGATACCACGTAAGTAGTTAATTCTGTTACCAAAAAATCTAAAAAATATATGAACACAGTTATTTTTTACAGACATTTTAAGTTCAAATTTGGACGAAATTACATATTGAAAAACCTAGAATAACTATTTTAGTTATTTTGTTGTGATTGAATAATATTATTCGTGGATACTTGAAACTCCTAAAGTGTACATATATATGATAGTATCACGGTTTTTGTTGATGTATAACGCGTTAAAAGTACCTAATGGATACTGTGATATGATTAATTTGGAATTTATTATAGGTCAATTTTTTGTTTAATAGGTACCTTAGATATGTATATAATATGTCTTATAACTAGACTGACATACCGTCTCCACTCAGAATCGTTTTTCCTATACAATGTTATTATATCGTTGAATTCAAATTTAATATCATAAATTATACAGTGACCCACTTTATTGTAACCTACTGTACAGCAGAGCGACACCCACTTGCCCACCTTTTTTTTTCTTTGTGATTTCCTTAACACTTTTTCCTCATCAACTGGTTCATTTACTGGTATTATAATTCCCTTTTGCTTTAACATTACAGTACAAAACTTTATAAGGATAAAAAATATTTAAAAATATAATTTTTTAATGAAAACGTTGTTTTTTAACAACTTGAAACTATGTAAAAAAATATACAGGTTATATTACAGGTTTAGGATGCTATCTGGATATCCATTTTTGGGATTAAAATAAAAGAAGGGTTTAATCCAAAAAATATCCAGAAAGCATCCTAAACCTGTAATATAACCTGTATATTTTTTTACATAGTTTCAAGTTGTTAAAAAACAACGTTTTCATTAAAAAATTATATTTTTAAATATTTTTTATCCTTATAAAGTTGTGTACTGTAATGTTAAAGCAAAAGGGAATTATAATACGAGTAAATGAACCAGTTGATTGGGTAAATAGGTTACAAATAGTAGAAAAACCTAATAGGTCTCTTAGGTTATGCATTGATCCAACATACTTAAATAAAGCTATCGTTAAAGAAATGTATACAATTCCAACGCTTAAGGAATTGGCGCCTAAGTTATCACATAAAACATATTATTCAGTGTTTGACATAAAGGATGGTTTTTATCATATACAGCTAAATGAGGTATCGAGTAAATACTGTTCTTTTAATACTATCTATGGAACATATAGATTCTTGAGAGCTCCGTTTGGATTAAAAAATATACCAGAATTTTTTCAAAAGTTAGTGTACAAATATTTTGGGGATATATCAGGTGTCACAATATATGGATATATTGGTAAGTGCTAAAACAATTGAAGAACATGATAATATAGTTAGAAATGTGATACAAAGAGCTAGAGATTATAACATTAAGTTATACTGTGTACAAGAAGTGAAATCCCTTGGAATGATTTTTAATAAAAATGGAATGAAGTCTAACCCAGAAAAAATACAAGTTATTAAAGAATTAGAATATCCAGTTAATAAACTTGAACTACAACGATTTTTAGGTATGATAGGTTTTTTAAGAAACTTTATTCCTAATATGTCCAAAATAATAGAACCACTTAGGCAGTTATTAAAGAAAGACAATATGTGGGTATGGTCAGAAAAGTGTGCTAATGCAATAGACATTATTATTTTACACAATTATTATTACTGAAGAAATGTATCAATATTATTCTTATTGTTATAATTATTTGTATTGATATTTTTTTTTGTGTTTTGTTTAAAAAGAAAAAATGTATTAATAATGTTTGGTTCTGATGATTAATAGGGTATTAACATTATATTATTACGTAATGAGAATTGATATTTTATGCTAGCATTTTTAATATGTAAAAAAAAAAAAAATGTACAAGCATAAATTCTTGTTCTGATTATTACTATTGTCATTAATATTATATTCTTATGTGTAATTAGAAAAAAAAAAAAAGGGCATGTGTGATAAGACTTTTAGAGGTTAAGCAATTCAATAAGAAATAATGTGATTTATATAATATACAAGTATGGTACAATAAACTGTAATGTTAAATAGAAAAGCATGTAGGTACATACAAACATTATAATAAAGAACCATCTAACCTAAAGAAACAGGAAGGATCAAAACTATACGATATATATTTTACTGGTCAATGATTTCGGTAGAACCACAGCAAAACAATCGTCTCACAAATTTTTTGGTGCGCCTCCAAAACGAACGGCGTGGAACCGGACGTACGCGTTCAACGGCAGTTATATCCGAGTTTTTCGCGGTGTTCAATCCCGGAAACTCCGTCTCGCCGGACGTGGAAGGCGGCAAATCCGGAGAATCACCAGCTGGAATCACAGCGATATCCGTCATACGATCACGTGTCCTGCCCTCTCGTGAATCCTCGGAAATAAGATGTTCCGGTATGAAGATATCGCCGGCGACCTGTTTAGACATTGGATTTGGTGTGGATGGGATCTCTACGGGACCTAGTGTCTCGACATCCGAATCCAGAAGCTCGGGGTTGCTCGGCACAGATACAGTTGTCGGCGTCGATATGTCGAACGCAGGAGACTCGCACAGCTGTAGTCTGCTTTCCAGCTCCGGCGCACTCACTAGACACGACGGTAAAGGCGGCAGGTGCATTCCGTACTTGGTGTTGGCGTTTTTTATTTCTGACGACACTTCTTCAAACTCCAACAACCTGTCCAAGACCCTCGGTACCATAATCCATGGTACAGGCGATGTAATACTTTCATCGTCACTTGACGACTGTTCATTTGGACACAAAGATACAGGTGGTACGTTCAACGATTTTTTTACTGCCGTCACCAGTAACTCTTCGGTGAGCTCGTCCAACACCTTGAAATCAGACTTAGTCAATAACGTCGTCGTTTCTTGTTGGTCACGGAGCTCGCTGATGGCGCATACAATTCGTGGCCTCTGTGAAGGGTCGTACACCGTGTATGCGCCATCTTCCGTTGAATCCGTTGTGTTTGCATCGTCGTCGTCCATATTAAATACAACGTCTGTCGATGGACAATCGCTCGCCTGCAAGATTTCAACTTCAGACTGTTCGTCATCCGGGTACAGTAGTGGCGATAAATCGAACGACCACTGATCCGAATCCACCTGTGAGTCGTTGATCAAGGTAGATGACGTCGCCGACGGTTGTTCCATTATTTCGTTGTCGATATCAGATGAGCTTCCGCACACGGTAAAACTGTTATTGTCGGACATAATAATATATTAATCAGATAGAATAACAATAAGTACAGAATAATAATCAGTATATTATATAGGTACGAAAAAACTGTTGGACCGTAAGAAAAATATTTCGTTATGAAATGGTAATGGTTATTGATAAGTATGGTAACTATGTAATAGGGGAACGAATTGTAGATTTTTCAAACATTCATGTACATTGCAGCCAGATATTTGTTGTTTTTGTAAATTTAAAAATATCTGGATTTTTTAACATATTAAATGGGTACGATCATTATTTATAAAATTTTTTTTACCTATACTAATCAAGAATACAAAACTAAAAGTTTTTTCATTGTTTAAATAAAATCTACAATTTGCAAATTTTTGAAATAATAATAGATTATTTGATGATTTCATTCATTAATATTATTACAAATTACCATTGGTTATGAATTAATATATTAATATAATTTCTTACCTGTGTATACAGTGGGCAAGTATTGAGTATCTTCATTGAGGCGAGCTTAAGAGATAAAAGTCCACAGAGCGAATTAACTCAGAACAAGGAATTGAATTCTTAGGTAGTTCAATGATTTTAAACACTTTTTAATTTGAATAAAACAGTTTTAATTAAATCTCGCAATAAGTAGTAACAGTAATATAGTATTGGTGATAAAATCTCCCAGTTTTTTCTTTGGATCCTTAACAATCACATTACCTCGTTTCCGACGTTGCGGATTTTCTAATTCTTCTTGTCTCAATTTACATATTGACTCGGGATTGATAAGACCAACTCTGTACGTTGACCACGATGTATAATTAAAATCACCCAAAACAGCCTTAACAGCAGGTTAGATTCTTGTTAAAATTTTGACACTGTTGGGAAGGAACGCTTTCCTTGTATAGCTTGGAAAACGTTCTTTTTAAAATATTGGAACGAGGAACAGGAAAGAGTTTTTACTTTTAAGGAACTTGAACGAAAATTTCTGTTTCTCAAATTATGAAAAAAAATGATAGTATGAAAAGCATGTAATTTCTAATAATATTATTTTCTAGAATATATTATAGAATCTTGGTTCAATTGACTATACCAATCATAAAATGTAATGAATATAAAAATTAGCCAATTATTTCTGGTTTAAAAGTTGTCCGCAAAAAACACCATTAACAACTGCAGCTGAGATCCTAAAAAAAATGTAAAAGAACAAGAACGCGTTCCTTTTTAAAAAAGAATAAAAAACGAGGAACGGGAACGAGTTCCTTTATAAAACGAACTTTTCTGACACTGAATTTTGGATATAGTATATCTGAAATATTACATTGGTGGATGTTATTGTGCCCTTACACTACTTGCGGTATCCGTCCCTAGGAATCCTTAGAATGTTATCCTAAAACTATCAAGACCTGAACCCCTTTTAAAAAACTTAAAAAAAAACTCCAAACCAGTAAATTCTTAGGTATAATATGATCACTGATCAAGTAATCAAGTGAGTTTCTTACACCTTTAAAACCACAGTGCACACATATTTTAGAAATTGTTTTCGCCTCAGTGTGGGTTCAATAAATTTTTTATAACAAAATTATTTTAACTAAAAAGTTAAATCAGATTAAAAATATTTGATAATATAATTAACAAGACAAAAAAAATGCTTTAATACTATATTTTCACTTTGCAGAAAGAACCACACTACATACTATGAATACTCAAAACTAATTAATAACATATTAAATAAGCTATATTGTTTTTATTGACGCTTATTATAATAGCACTCGACCGTCCATTGTGACATTTAAAAGTGCGGCAAACGTTACGTTAAAATTGAACATTTAAAGCCCTTAAAAATGTTTAGCTTTTTTTAAATACTCTATAGCCTTTTAAACCTTCAACAATTCAACGAGTGAATCATGAATATAAAGATAAACGTTTTCGGTTAATTATTTTATACACTAACGACGTACTTATAGATATTTCATCGTCGATAAAAAATTAACGAGTTCAATTTGGAAAAAAATTAAAGCACTTCGTAATGAATCATTTTGTTGTATACCTACAATATTAAGGCGAATATTTAATATCACAAGCAAACATCAAGTTGATTAATAACCTAGCGATATAAGTTTTTGTAACACAATCAATGTTACTTTTATCTTTTAAATTATCGTATTTTATTTTTATTTCATTTTGCGGTAACTTATAATAATTAATTGTGGTTGTGTTTATTATACACAAACATTTTATTTTCTAAAATGTAGGTACATCATCAACTTCATTTTGCTGTAAACCTTAATTACAAATTGTTTATGTAAGTTAATTATAAGTTATAACTTATAAGTTTTAACTAACATAAATTATAACTTATGTACCTAATTACTAAATAAGCTCGAAAATTAGTTGATGATTTGTCCTTATGGTTTATATTTTAACTGGAACTATTTATACTGAAACATCTGGTCCAGTGGTCTCTATATATAGCTAAACATTTTATACTAACAGTAAATGTAAATCAAAAACTGAGAAACCAGAAAAATACACCTATTTTTATTAGTAGGTATATACTACCTTGAGATCTTGTAATAATATGTAAAAAGTATACTTCAGAAATAATAAAAATTATAATACATATAATTATATTAAGTATAATTAACATAAAGTAATCACTAATTAGTCAAGTTTTTAAAAGGTCTTTGACCTTTACTGTGGTAATATTTTTCAATTACATTAATTGCATTGTGTTCAAAATAATTGTATTATTAATATTAAAATTGTTCAAAACATCATATATTTATAGAATAATATTATTTTTTTTAATATAATTTTTCAAATAATATTTATTTTTTTTAAACATTTATTAAGAATATATACAATCTGTAATAGTAGTTACAATAAGCATATGAGCGGAAAATGTACAAGTTGACTGAGAAATCGTGAGGGGAGTAGCTACCCAGAAGTAACACTCGACCATTCAAATAATATAAAATGAAAATATTTTTCTCTTATGGCTTAAAAACGGTAAGTATATACCTAGGTATTAGCCAGTAGATATATTAAAACGTATCTATAATTAGTCTTTATTTGTTTATCATATTTTTTGTTTGTATTTATACAATTATATATTTTTTTTTTTAAGAAAAAAAGTTTATTGGGTATTATTTAAAATCTATAATTGTATACAATAATTTATATCGCTGTAATAATCAATAACCATACAAAATACTTTGATATGGATAAGACTTTTAAACAAGACTTACAGCAGAGTCACAATAGTCGTCAGTTGAGAATAAGCTATAAAGGACGTCGTATACGTCGTATGTTGTCTCAGTCTTCCTAACAAAATTAATTTAACTCTGGTTATTTTTAATATTAGAGTGATTTAACTTAGGTACTATCAAATTTAAAAGTAAGAATATTATCCACCTAAGATTTTTTTATATAATAATATTGAAGCAAGTTATATGAATTTTAACATCAACAAAAAATTTAAAATTTAAAAACGATCATAACTTGTTTCAAAATGTAAGTACCATAAAATACACTCACATGAGGCACTCTAATATTTTTATCCCTCGTGTTTTTTACTTTTGACTATAATTGATGGCCAAATAAGAATATCCTATTTTTTTTATACAGTCCTACATGTCTCAACCTTCGGGATATAAATATACAATTAATAATAAAACATATAAGGAAGGTATATTAACTGGATGTCGTAAATATTAAGTATAGAAAAAAAAATGAAAATATACCCAACCAACTACATGAAATCCCGGGATCACAAATTTAACACAACAAACAAAATAACACTTTTTTCTAAGACTAACCATATAACTTACATAAAATATTAACCTACAAAGACATTAAGAATAACAATGGAAAAAAATATGTATAAAATAGAATATATAAGATAATTTGAATTTAAAGCTGATAACTGCTGTATGTCGAAGCTTAAGAAAAAAAAAAAAAAAATTTTATAGGTTCTGATATCAAATTCTGTCTTCATAGAGGTAAGTGAATTCATCATTATATAAAATAAATTATAAGTGGTAGATAACTGGTAAATAATACATTATACTTATACATTATATTTTTTTTTATACATAATATTGGTAATGATTACACACTGATTTATAATAATTAAAAAAATTACGTGTAAAAATAACATTCATATTTTTAACTACTACAACAGCCCCTATTTTATCATACAACTTAAAGATTATATTGGAGATCAAAATTAATACGGTAACGACGGTTGAAATAATACAACAAAATCAGGCCAAAAAGAATTCTGGACCTATAAAATTTCCACACTTAGGAAAATCTTCGGGTACCTGAGGAAAACTTCCACTGGGATTTAACACTCTAAAAATTAATGACAAGCCACTGGACCATTCGGAAGTTTTTTCACTTCTAAACAACCAATATCCTGAAACACACAATTAATTACTGTTGGTGGCATAAACTATTCAAATGATGTAAACAATTATTTTATTAAAAATTCTATTCTAGTGTATATTAATAATTGAGGATAATTATTTCTATTAATTTGTACCTAGTTTAAATAGTATAGTTTATACTTTATGCACTTTTAATGGGACGATTTTTCCAATAATACGTAATCTAAATTCAGAAAAATTTTGCATTTATTATTATGTTAAAGTTTTATATTTTACCCATAGATATGTACTATGGTTATAACTTTTTAAAAACTGATTGATTGATATTTATATATTACATTTTAGACTAAAAACTTAGTTTAGGGTTATCCGGTTGATTAAATTTCAGACACAATTAAAATGACTTGATTATTTTATATTTTTCTAATTTCAGGCAATTTATTGTAAAAACAGTCATATTACCGAAATTACTGTAAACAAATATTTTATTGATCGTAAATAGCTTAAAATCCCAGAAAATAAGTTTATATGTAATTAATGACTGATCCGGTGCCCTGACACCCTATAAACTTTGTTCAAAGTTTTAATTGGAAATATAATAACAACCTCCCCCGAACACACAAACTCTCTCTATATTACCGATGGTGGTAATGAGAACTTAGAGTGCCATTATTATTTAATTTAAAATATTTAAGTCCAACATAATAATTCAAATGTTTGCATAGGTAGTGAACTGGAGTGGATACAAAACAGATTTAAAAATAATAATTCCTCAAATATTTCTTTCACAAGATAAATTAATAAAAACACGGTTAATCTAATATATGAATCATTATGTTAAAATTAGTTTTTTTATCGTTAGTTTAAACTTTAAATTAAATATTTAAAAAGAGCTTATCAAAAAAGATAAATTATAATTTGGACTTTTCCCTTTGTGAATATGGAAAAATATGATTATTAAATAAATTATTACCATTAATTATTTTACAATTGTTTTATCTAACAATAAAACATAACAGTTAAAACTTTTTTTTAAAGATATGATGACATTTTCTATTTTATTTTTTTTTTATACGAGTTTTAAATATTTTAAGTTTATAAAAGTAAAGATAAACACATAAAACTTTGAAAAAATGATAAAACCAATCTAAAAAAATGTTAATGTATCTTTTTAATCTAAATGTGTTCAATGTTTAAAAGTTGAATTACCAAAGTTTCGTACATTTCCTGAATTCCCTCGAAGTTCACGTAAAAACTTATAAGAATAAAGTATATATATGTTATATACTTATATGAAAGTAAAATATATGTACGATAATGTATATATTTATTTGGAGACATTGTTTAAAAATATATTTTGATAAAAACCAAAATGGAATATAGAGCACTCACTCTTTGCACGTGTGGGATAACGCCACTGTGGTGTCTTATGATATTTAATTTGAAACCTATAAATTCTATTCGATAAAAATAATTTTAATGAAACTTCTTTAGATGGCATTTCTTTTTTAGAGGCATTGTATGGCTACTTTAGTCTTACCTAAGATTGGTAAACTAAGAGTTAGAGCAGTGGTTTTCAGCCCTATGGCTCCTCGGACACACAGTTTGAGAACCGATGAGTTGGAGAAATTATTGAGAAAATTGAAAAATTACTACTTCAAAGGTACGATTTGGATTCAAATTGTAATCAATTAATAAATTATAATTTATTTAATTTTAAGTATTTTCATATTTTCATAGGTAATACATTTTACTACTTTTCATTTTATAAATGTTTATATTTTCGATATAAAATGTTAAATTTATAAAAAAAATTATATTACTCATGATAAAGAAACGTGTGTATAGCGTAAAATATAATAGCTGAAAATGAAAACAGCTCATTGTTTATTTTAATCTACGGAAAAAATAATATGTTTTTAATGATTTTTTTAATAAATGTAAAGTGCACTTTTTATAAAATTGCCGTCTTGGGAAACTCAATGGTATGACATTATTGTTAAACAAAAGCGTTTATATTAATACGGGGTTTTCGCCCTTTTGTGTATATTAATTTACAAAAGATCTGTTTATAAAGACTTTTCTTGCGTTAGTAAATACGAATGTTTTTCCTTAGAACATGGTTTCCTTATTTTATAAGGTTGGAATCTTACTATTAAGGTTTCGGTTAGGTTAATGGTAGATCATTACCGGGATTGTCAGCGATAAATCGCACGACAGATACACCTGCTGCTGGAACGACAACGGTGTTCTTCAGCACCGACCTGTCGAGTTTCCTGTGTACTAAGTGCGAATCACTGTCTAACTTCTTTGCATGATCTGCCGACTTGACGAACGCTTTGCTCTTCTGACCGACCACGTAGAAACTGTGTCCGTGCAAGTAAAATGAATGAGATCTGTCCGTTTTGAACAGCGTGTGCTCTGAGAAAAATATGGTCACTTTAGCAAACGATTAACATAGTTTAGCAGTTTAAATCAGAGATAATCAGGTGACGTTGTGTACTGTGAATAAAGTAGGTGCACAATGTACGTAATGTATTTTACAATTTAAAAGTACCTATAAAATATAATTATAATCCCGAAATTAGATGTATATCATATAATGTATATTATTATAAATTATAATGATTTATGAATAAAATGTAAGCATTTTGTTTTTTTTTTTATCAAAAATCAACCTTTTCCCACTGAATTTTTAATATTTTCAAAACGCAATACTAAATAAACAATATTGTTGCATCTATTCTACGAAAGTTATAATGTTATATTGTACGATTATATGTCTTAGGTATATTAAAAACGTAATTTATCGATACTTTAAAATTATCGATACTTATTGCACAAGAAAAACTGTTTCCATACACGTTGACAGAAAATTCATTTATGCATTATACTCTCGTTTCTTTTAATAAATCAAATTTTATAAATTTATATAATATTTAGGTTTTATAGTTATGTATAAGTGGCCCAGGGCTCATAACTTCTACTATTTGCATATTTTTTTTTAGACGTATCAGAGATGCCCATGAGAGTTATAAATTTGTTAAGTTAAACTAACCAAGATGCTATAAATACGAAATTGTATGTTGCATATTTTTGCATATTTGCGAAGTTTATATTAATTTTGCTTTTTTGTGTCTATTTATCAGTACTGTAGCCTTCAAAACAGATGAGTATCACGATCCCAGTAAACAATTCCGATGTAATATTATAAAATTTTTTTTAACTTATAAAATGTTCAAACATTTTATTTTTTACTTACAAATTAATATAGGTGTTTATGACATTTTATGTGCATATTATTGAATATTTTGAAGTTTAAATACTATATAGATTTTTTGTGTCTATTTCAGTATCGTAGATATCAATTTATTTGAATACCAAGACACTATAAATAATTCTGATGTAATACCTATTATTCAGCTTTTTTATACTCAACATTTTTTTTACATATTTTAGTATTTTTAGTATATTTTAAGCGCTTATATGAATGTTTTTAAGAACATATTATTGCGCTCATGATATCAACCTTGTTTAGAGCTTTAAGTTATATGAGCCCTGAACCCAAAGTTATAACATAACAAACACGGTACCTAATTAACAAAATTATAGTCCTGTGTTAATCATAATAATTTGTGATTCCGTTACATAACTCTCTTGAGTCTTGATAGCTCACCTACGTTTTTATGAAAATATTGAATATACAACGTACAGAACGCATCGCATTGCGGTCACAGGCATAGGTGATAGGTGTAATGTGTATATGTGATTATTTTTTTATTGATTATTCAAAACGTGAATTGACATTTATAACAATATTTATATAATTTTATTTCAGGACTGATTCGATCTTATTATTATATATGTGTGTGGGTGTACTGCGTGTATACCTGTATCGAAAATAACTAATTCCGTAGCTGAACCCAACGGCAAGTCGATGATATGTGTACACTCGCAAGACGTAATACTAGACCGACATTTGAGTGGCACATTTTCTGCATTGCACACTATCATGTCTTCGGGCTGTTGCAATAGCAACGGGGCGGAAGGTAAGACCATCGACATGTTGTTGAAATTCGGCAATGACCACCTTCCTTCTGTAAACGTTCGTATGTTATTGATAGTTATACCGTTTGATATTATTGTGTTTTAATTGTTTCGCTTACCGCCAAGTTGATATTTAATCGAAGAAAATCCCAAATAAATTGTATTTTTCAATTCGACTGCAGATAACTCGTAGGGTAAGTTATCAAGACTTGTAATGGACAAGTGTCGTTCCCCATATTCGGTCTTTTTAGAATTCAAAAACATTCAAAATATTATAACATTGTAATAAATTATTATATTTTAAGATGAATTATAGGTATAATACATTTTTGGTCAAAATATTAAACACTGGTGAGTACTGCTAGTAGGTTAGGTTAGTTAACTCCACAACCGTGAGTCCACACATAAAAACATTGTTTTAAGGGTATCTTTAGGTTTTAGGACTTTAGGTAAATTCAATGAGGAAGTGAAAAAATTTTACTCTAGTATACCGCTTTGCTAAACAAAAACTTAATACCTATAAATGCTTTTATAATCTATATTTTTATGTTTGTATCAACAAGAAACAATAAACAAAATTTATAAAATTAATTTATCTATTAGCAAAAACAGAACATCTCATGACTTAATAAGAAGGTCACTCCCTCGCCCCATCCCTCAAACCCTTCAGTGTTTGTGATTCTAAAAACAATCTCGACATTCCCGCCTGTGATGGGAAAGTTGAGATTTTGTTATGGATTTGTTTACTATTTATTACTATTTTATTTGGACCCGAAGAACTATTATAATTTATAACGGTACCTAGTTACAAAAAAAAAATCGTTGAATTGAACATAGATACTTTATAATTATAATAGATCAAAAAGTATAGTGTTTGATTTAGGTCTTGTAACATGTATTGATTATTTAATGTTTATTAAATTATAAATTGTATAGTGAAATTCCATTGTTTTTAACATCTATAGAAATTAATAATTACCATTGACTGATATGAAAGTGCACAATCAGCCGAGAATAATATTATTCATACTAGCAAGCAAAATTGAATAGACTATTAGTCTGTAAATGTAATTTGGAAGAACTCCAACAATATAATAGAGTGAAGAGAGATTCCTGTCTATGGTGAGCATTTTTTAACGATTTAGCTTATTTGTTTATCGGAAGTATAATAAACTCGAAGTTTGAATTACAACGGCTATTCAATAACTGATTATTTTCAAAACTATAGACAATAAAAAAAAAACCATAACCACTGATTAATAAAATAATTATTATGCATTTATAATCAACGCCACAACCTATTGATTTTTAAAAAAAAAATTTAATATTATTAATCATATAATAAATACATATTATTGAATAATAGTTATATTATATATAGAATATATACTATATAGATATACTTGCAAGTTGCAGAATACTTGAAGTTTAAAGTTTACAAAATGATATAATGTTTATATTATTATACGAATTTCTAATGAGTTTTTAGTTTAATATTAAAAACATAAATAGGTACATACCTACCTACATTATATTAATAGTAATTTTTTTTACAACATATTATTTATAAAGTACATTAAAATATAGATTAATTATTATACAGTGTATTTTAAGAAGACTGGAATTTAAAATTTCATCTTAAATTTATAATTAATACAGGACGTATGATAATTGTCTTAACTTTAAAATTGTTACTTACCATAATCTGTTCATATGAACTCAACATATTATACTCACCGGTTTTACAAGATTGTCAGTGTCTGAGATAGTGTTATGTAATGTCGAGTTGTAATGTATGTACAATGTGTGTGTGTGATTGGAATCCTTACAGTGACCCTCTGAGGTGACCGTCATGTCATAAATTCCTTGGTTTTTGATTGTTGTTAAAATAAAGTCCAACGTTTCACCTTTAAATACACAGATATAATGGAAATTAAAGCAAAATACATTTTAGGATTTTGTGAACATGTTTATTTAACACTAAACCTGGTTCAACTTGAATAACGTCTACTGGTTTAGGTTCAATCGCATGACCATCGATTGCTATAACTGTTAAATGATGTTTATGCACTTTTATCTCAATTGGACATTGTGAAACTCCTCCTGTATTTATTGTTCTGAATCTATACTTGCTATTGTTTTGTACCGTGATCGACTGAAACCAAAAAAATACAAATCTATATATCCTTCTGCAATTTAGGTAATAGTTGTGTTTACATTTTCAAGGTTTCTCAATAAATCGTGTTTTATTTAAATCTGTGCTCGTCGACTTTATGCACATGCTTATTGTAAGCATATAATATGCTCTTGTAATATACATTTTCCGTTCACTAGAGCTGTTTGATATTAATATTAATATAGTGTTTGGTATGAAAATATAGGTTTTTTAGCCTTCGAATATTGGGTGATAACCGGTATAAGTGAGTGGTAGTTTTTTTACACATAGTAAAAATCAACTAACATCGCCAATGATAATACGGATTTTTAATTAAACCATAAATCTGTCTTTCAGTTATAGGATTATACCAATATACTATAGACGTCTATAGATTGAATTCGTACACTAAATAATATATTACAATATGGTTTGTATTGTTTATTCTTATTACATAGTTAATTTAATTATAGATACCTAATAGACATATTGAATAGTTTCGTTTACCGTGTTAGATTCGATTCCATTAATTCGCATTTCATTGATACCATTTTGAGAGATGGTCGTGTATTCTACAAGTAAAACGTGTGGAATTTCATCATAGTCATATATGGAGGCATGAGGTTCTCTGCGTTTTGACTGCTTCACTATGAATGCTCCATATACTCTATCAGACAACTCGTCGCCTGTTAATAAAAATATTATTGTATGAATAGTATTACAATTTATAAATGACAATTTATGGCTAGGTGTGGAAACTATATTTGCGCACAATTTAAACGCTTCCAACGACTATATTGTCTTCCAAGTAAATACAATATTACATAATAGGTACCTATGTGCGCGTGTAAAATTGCATAAGTATATACCTATCATAATAATCACTCAATTATTAAAAACAGACGTTTGAATAAAAATTATTATTATTATTGTTTTGTCTAATTGAATCCGTGTATAAATCGATACGTAGCTTTAACTCCAACATTCTTACGGTTAGTCGAATTACTAATTAGTAATTGTAGAAATAAATTATGCACTTTAACTAGGTACCCACTTAGAGATTTTAGTATTTTACCCGATAATATCTGCCACCAATGAGTTCCTGCTTGAGCAGCTCTAAATTTATATTGAAATGTAGTGTGTGGTAGTATTGGACATTGTGTTACCATAGGTGCTCCATCCATTACCGGAGTCTCTTTTTGCCACTGACCTCTCCAGTGTACCGAAACGCTATGACCGGGTATTCGGTTAACAACGTCAATAACCATTATATCGTTTTCACAAACCTGTAGGTAATTAAATAATATTATTTTATTAGGTATTTAATATTAACAATTATGGATTGACTAAAATAATGATATATATTTGTGTCAGGAACAATTTATAAATACCACCCTTAGAATTTAACAGGTGCATGTCTCCTTAAAAAAAACTGATTAAATCATCTACAATACGGCAATACATATTAATATTTAGCAGGGAAAAATTATTATGTTATTCATTTAATAATTATAATTTATATCCGTCATATTATCGTATATTTCTATACGTATTACGTGTGATAATAATATTGTATATATTATAGGTACAGTAAATATAATATATATTATTGTTTCTTATATACTTATCGACACATATTATGTCTTATCAAGTTATAAATATTATGTATACCTAATATAACTATTTAATAAATTAGATATGTAATAAAATCATCAAACATACTCTTATTGATGGACCAGGAACTTGTCTATTAGCAGTAATAATTTTCTCTGAAAATCTATCACAATAAATATCATGTTGGCATTCCGTTTGATTGTTGGAGGAACATTTTTGACAATTGCTAAAATATGATTATTTTATCAGTTCATTTATCATAACTTACTTAATAACCAAATTATAAGTGACACTAATTTTGAGACAAATGTATAATAATATATTACGCTTGCTGCATACGTCATATAGGTGGTGCTATATAATATCTAATGATTAATTTAATTATGAATTAAATAAAATGTTTTGGCATTATACTAATTTAAAGTATTATGTTCGATGATGCACAACACCGCCTCGCCGGCGTGTGTTGTATCCATCTCACAGTTAATATTCAACCTATGGTTGAATGGATTCAACCATATCGTTATCTAAAATTAATTTCATAGTCCCTCCACAGGATCCATGTGACCATGTTGCACAATATCTTCTTTTCCATTTTCTATTCTGGTTTCCTGCTTCAACTACTTAGCCAATGCTACTTTATCTCACCTGATGAGTGTACAATAAAATATGAAGAACCTCATTTTGTCTCTTCTTGGCAATTAGCAGTCATTTAATTATATTTTATCTTCTTTAGTTATAATTTATTATATTTCTTATTAGGTACCTATTTAATTCTCATATTCACATTATTATTGTTATCGTTATCAACTTGTTCATCGTATTGTTATTTTCTTTTGGGTCTTGGCCTGTCTTGTTGAAAAAATAAAATGTTGAAAGATAATTAGCCTATTATCAAGATCAAATTTAATATAGTCTATAGAATATTATCTATCTATGTTTCTACATTGGTTTTATTTATTTGGTATACCTATTTTAATTTTTAAGCAAGTTATGATCATTTTCATATCGTAATATTTTAAATATTATTTACTCATAATACGTGAAAACTAAAAAATTAAAATATAATATAATACAAATTTTAATATCACAAAAAACATGAACAAAAACCATTGTACTAAACACACTACACAGATAATAATATTTTTACATTTAAATTTGATAATAGGTCAATTCATTCTAATGACTAATAAGCAAGCAACACAATCAAACAACACATAGTAGGTATTTACATTTTCAAAAATACCTAGTAAAGCGATGAACTATTTTAAAATGATATTAACCATATTAAACAAATTTTTACTTTTGAATCTTTTGAGTCTCGAGCACAATTTTGTATCTGCAAATTAACGGCCAATCCAGTTCATGACATTCTCTATCACAATTTGGTTTTGATGCTTCTAAAAAAAATTATCATAAATATAATCGTTAGAGATTTTTATTTAACTGTCGTCATCACTTTAAAACTACGCTAAATTCTTGAAACGAATACCTATACCCAATATTATATTATATACATCGCGTAATTTGTTAATTGTTTTCATTTAATACTTAACGAATCAGTAACAAGTGGTTGTAAGTACTCACTTGGTAACTCTGTATTCCATAGAACTAACCCTGTAATCGTAACTACGCCTAACACCACTGAAATTCTACTTTTAAGACCTTTTAACTGCCTTACTGAAGCCATACTTTATACTGCACTCTAGCTCATACACATTAAAAATGTGCTATCCTCGAAAAGTGATTATTGCCGTAGCCCACAATCTCCCTTTCAAGAAGTACCTATCTGGCATTATTTAGTATTACACACTTGATTCATTGTTAAGTCTTAACTTTCTCCCACTGATTATTTTACTATTTTCAAATCACAATACCGCAAATAAAAAACTATTGCACCTATTGTACGTGTTGCATTGTACGGTTATTCTGGATAAAATACAAACGCAATTTGATGCACAAATATGAGTGTTATATTATTGCCCATAATTACACGAGAAAATCAATTGTTATATACATACATATATAATACTCGTCGATTGAAAATACATACTATACCTACCTACTGGTTACTCATATATTTAAGAAAATAAATTTAATATATTATAATATTATTTTGATTCTTTCTCATTGTTACCATAATATAACAAACAAGGTAATTATTAAAATAAGTCCAAGTAAGTGATTTGTAATGATAAATAATCTATTTTTATTTTATAATTTATAATATTCATTAACTTCAGTTCACATCACGGTCACATATGTTGTTTAAAAAAATATATATATTATATATTGTTATTTTAACCTTGAATACCTCAGCATGTTGTTATACATATGTGGAATAACTAGACATCTTCTACCCTCTGACATCAGGGGATGCCAAATAAGGCCCTACAATCTATATGCTCACACCCTAAATATCAATCTTTAAAATGTATGGTGAAAAATCGTTTCCGACGCTCGTTTGTTCGTGATTCAACAGACAAAATATCATATTTCTACTATACGTCTATTCCAATAATATATTTACTCTATTTATGGCTAATTTGAAATAAAAAATCCTAATAGTACCTGAATTGTATTAAAGAAAAAATATAATTGTATACAACTTGAATTAATATTTTTAGTTATGCAATAACATTCAATATAAATACCTTTCAACAATTATTAATTATTATTATACTATGCGGTTAAGTAGACACGCGTAAAGTGCGTAGTAGGTACAAATAATAATAGTCTTATAATTTAATAGTATGTACAAACAAATATAAAATGGTTATTATAAGTACACCTATTTTTCTTAATCTTGTTGATGTGTACAATTAATGGAGTAGGAGTTAAGTGTAAGAGTAAACGTTCAATTGCTGATATAATGAAGTCAGAAATACATGCATATAATTATGTATTACAATTTACAACCCACCACCAATAATCCAAATTAAAATATATGATTTATCGACTCAACGTAAGCACGTAACATTATTTTGTTCTGTGAAAATATATAAGTTATCTTAATATACATATTACATTTCATTAAAATATCCATTAATCATCAAGATATTATACACTTTTAAATACATCCATATTGGCTGTCAAAAATAGCCCTTTTTACCATATTAATGTATATACCTATAACCAAATATAAAATATAATTCTCCCTGATTTTGAGTTTTTTTTATTATAAAACAAAGTTGATTTATGTTGGTTAATGTATAATATCTTATTATGTTACTGGTCACAACTTACTGTGAACTTAGGAAGGCAATATATGTTCAAATTAATAACTGCAGCGATTTCTGTATGTTAGTTATTTTAAGGATATGAATATATATTATGTTAATTTAGAGTCATGGCAAAAAGAACTCCAATATATAAACTCACGTAGAGTAATAATTGAATTTTGGTATAAAAAAAAGGTTTAAATAATTTCTAAGACACTATTTATTTTTAGTAGGTTACCTAGCTCATCCATATGCAATTTTTTTTTTTAATTAAGAAGAGTAATATATAAAATTTAATTGGACCAGAAAATAATTTTTTTATGTAACGTATAAGGTATCTTTATCACTATTCTCGAATCCATGCAATTTTAATAGGATGGTGCAAACAAATAATTGTTTTTTTTTTAATAAATTAGTACTCGCGCGTGATATCATACACGCACCTTCATACGAATGCTGCTATCATTACTATAAAAATTAATAATGCTGATAATCCTCAACAATCTATGATCGGTTCTAAAATAAATCCATCTCTCTTTTTCACACTCAGATTGCGCAGTACTTCCATCAGCAGCAATATCTACGCTCATATCTTTCATTAAATACTCAAACTCAATATAGTGAATGAATATTCATCAATTCAAATTAAAAATGTAGATTCTATGTATACATGTGGTCTCTGTTTTTATTTCTATTGGACCCATACCACGTTTACAAAACTGTATAGGTAGTAGGTACTATAACATTTTAAACATTTTAATATTGTAATATTTTTTTATATTTACCATACAATATAACGACAATAATTTATTATAGATGTAATATATTGTATATTTGTATTGTATTTTTGATGAGCGATTCTAATTGCAATCGTATAGCTTTCACTCGTTTATATTAATACGACACACTGCTGGTATTTTCACCAGACCTTAAAAGGTTTAAATTAATATAGTTCGTAATAATAATATCTAATGTTTTTTGTCACAGTGGCTTTCTACAATCTCAATACTCACCCATCTATCTATGTAAGTATATAATACTTAAACTCAAAACCCTGTTCTCTATGAAATATGATAAAAATGATTAGCATGTAATAGTTATTGAAAAATATTGTCATAGTCATTCATAGTAAATTAGTAAATAACATACATCGACGAGGCAACCATCTATGTAGGTAAATACTGAAATTAATGACGAACGTCTAACGTGAATGACCAGGCGTTTAAGTCCCAGTATATTTTACCTTGACGAAATTACCAAATATTTAGTTTGAAAATAATATGTATTCAAGGAAAATCATATATATATATATATATATATGATGAACACATAATAATATAAATCATATACGAAATGTAGCCTAACGTTTTGCAGGTTACCTCAACTTTTGTCAGACACTCACAATCATTCTAGCATCAGAAAAAATTTTATCTTTTCTTCTTTGAACTTATACACTCATAATATTATACCACATCAAAACTCCCAGACAGTTCAAATTAGTTAGCCATTATGTGTAATGTTTATTTGAATATTTGCAGTTGCATATTGTATATTATAAATTATAATATATAGGTACTATTTACATTTATACCAATAGATATATCTACCTAGTATACCTATCTATATTTTAAGTATAAATCTCAAGAATACGAAACTCCCTATAAAAACTATATAAAGTTAAGCTTTTTGATTTTACACTTCAGATTGGTACTCACACATAAATTATTATAGTATGGTTAATGATTATACATTATATGTACATTGTGCATAACGCACAACACCATTGATGATATAAGTATGTTTAAAATATATAGGTACATAATGAGTATAATTACCAAAATCGGGAATAGGCGTATAATAGATTATAGTGACCACCACTGATAGAAGACCGACTAGAATAGACAACCGTAGCATGCACGCGCACAGAAGATTACTTTCGGTCATTTTTTTTAATTTTTTATTCGCAGGCCGTTTAAAATCTATAAGTGTTCACAACACGATTATTTGAAACACTATAACACTACGCCTTACTTTAATTTTACTATTATTCATAAGTCACTATTAATTCTCATATACACAAAATTAATTTTGCTATACGACCGCCGATCGGTCGTAATTATTATTATATTACTTGTTAACGCGTTGAGCAAGAGCGACTCACTAGTGAAACTTCGACGTGATGCCTGAAGACTGGACCATGCTAGTTATACGATAATATAAAAGTAGGCCAACCGTACAAACAGCAGTCTATTACATCAATATTCAATGATATAACAACAAATTATACACCAACTGCCGAATACATTCAAGGGTGATGTTTACAACATGTGACTTATTTTTATTAGGCCAAAACAAGCCAGTGTTAATTATTGTACGTGTAAACGTACTTTCAAGTAATCAATAGAATGGATTTTAATTCGCAAATTAATATTTTTATAAGTACAATTTAGTTAGTTTTAAAAAAGTTGATAATCTACATTCTACAAACGGGTAAACAAATGCTATTTGAGATTCTGAACGGAGCCTATAGGGAGCTATAATATAATATAATATACAATGAAACCTCGATAACTCGAACGTCTATAAGTCGAACTTTTGATAACTCAAAGGAATATCTTCGACCCAGCATTTCAATAAGTAAACACAATTTTTTCTATAACTCTAATTTTCGATAACTTGAATTTTTTTTCGCCCCCAACCGATTCGAGCTATCGAGGTTTTACTGATTCACTGTACCTATTAGTTTTGCTGCAATCCAAACGAACCTATCTATTCGTAATTTATTTTTTTCCTCAAATAGTCAAAACATTTTAAATCGACAACATATATACAAGTATACAACATTATTGGGAACTAGGGAAGGCTCTCCCATAACATTTTATACATTTTTCTAATTTATTCACGAAGTAGACGCGGATAGATTCGATTAACAATTATGCAAGCTCAATTATATGATATAATATTAGAACAAAGGTCAAGGACTTACACGTATTCGTAGATTTGATATTTATTATTTTTATTATTGTTTGCTATAAAGTAACTAGCAATAGCAAAAAAGGTATTTTAGATGATATTGTGAACAAAAATTAAAATCTTTAGTTAATATCTTGTGAAAAATTATTTTTTTTTATTTTTTTCCCCGAGGAGCGCTCACTCCCAAAAAATTTACGTTCAACTAAATGTAGCCACGAGAACAATTACAGGGACAGTTAGAAGCACTCCAACCCAATGACTACCTGTTATCTCACATTCACATATCGACCCCCCAGAAGTTAGGAGCAGTGCCATATTTTTGGAAGGACAAATGGGACATTTGTACTGAGCCCACTCATAAGAGTGGCCCACCTACTTTCAGCATACAAAATTAATTGTATACCTTTTTGTCACACTTTGGGAAAACCAAATAGATTTGGATTTTAGTTGGATATTTTGGTAGGTTATACAGTATGAGTTTTCCCTGAAAACGACGACCTTAATCAACTTGGCCGATTACAAAATCTAATTGTCGTTATTATAATATATATATCGTTGTAATATTACTATTGACGTTGCTGTATTGCGTAGTTACGTGATATACGTCAGTCGTATAATATGTATTTCTATTAATTGTCATTTGTTTATTATTTTTAATAATTTAAAAAGTCAAAAAAATAATTAAGTGGTTCAATGAAGATAAAATTAACATGTTGACCTCTACGGGTTTTTTTTTCAAGTTATACTTAAAATCGATTTTGAGAATCTATTTGGGTTCTCGAAAATATTATTAGGTTTGACATCGCAGGAGGCGCATTATTATTTCACGAACAGTCTAGTTGAGCGGGTCCATACAATATTGACATTGACCATTGCGTAAATTGTCACCTGTGTATTTATAATGCACGTACCATTACGCCGCGAGCTCGATCATCGGTAGACTTACTTTTTAATGAAAACTCCTGTTTACTTAAATATCTGTATCAATTTGCGCCCGAAATATTTTTAATAAAAATTCGTTAAAACCATGCAACGTTGCCAAACTGTATTCTGGATATAATGCAATACGAATTATTACCTGCTTGTAGTGCTTGTACCTGGCTAACTAGTACCTAACTATTAAATATAATATTTACCAGTTTTAACTATTTTTAATTTTTACGTTACACGCTTATCGATATTATCGAATATCGATCCATTTTATCTTAATTTCACTTCATGACGACTCTCACTTTTCTCTGTTTCAGGGGCGGAGTGGGGATCAAATCCAGGCCGGGAGTTTAAAATTTATTCAGGCCACCCACCAAATTTCTCGCTATGCTCGAATTTGGTTTTTCTATTTACCTATTTCAAAACTACTTTTAGTATTATAAAAGTATTTCATTCACTATCTTGCTATTTCTTTTAACTTCTGTCTTCTAACACATTATATTAATATACCAATAAGTACTTATTCCTGAAAGTCTGAAAAATAAAATTAGTACCTAGGTATGGTTTAATAGTTGAAATCAACGAAATATTAATAATTATACTATACATTGTGTTTTAATTGTTTAGGTATAGTAGATATAAGGTAATAAGTAATAGATAAATACATACATTGTAAACAATATATAATAAAAAAGATTTATACATTCATAATAATAATTTAGAAAATAGATTGGATTTCTCACCAACTGCATTTATAATAATATTGTTATCTATTTCCATGAGAATTTTATTTTCAATGGCCGTTAGCATAAAAGACTCAAGATAATCATTGGTAATTAAATTTCTCAGCCTGTTTTTTAAATACTTCAATGTTTAAAATGGGTGTTTTATTATAAAAATAACCGACCTATATCAATATTATATTGCTTTGATTTTATTTGATGTCTATATTTATGTTTTATGTACCAAATATTTTGTAATTTTATATCCAAAGATTTCTCATAAGAGTATACAATTGTACGAGGCTATCACAATGTACTATTATAGTATTATTGCATTAATAATATTTGTAGTACAATAATTTAATAGAAACAAATTTACGACGCATTTAGCATTAACTAATATTTTGTAAATTAAATTAAATTTAAAAAAAAAATCTAATAAAATGGTCAGGCCACCGGGCCATAGTATGGTCCAGGCCATCTGGAAAATTCCCATTTCCAGACCGGCCACTCCGCCCCTGCTCTGTTTATACGTTGCTTAGTCGATGGGCCTCGACCTGGTCGACCTGCGGCCGGCTGCCCCTATTTTTCTGAAAATCCCGCTGCCACCACACAGCGCTGGCCCGTCGGCCGTCAGTGTCCGTCGACCGTCCTCTTGTGCTCGTCCCGGGCAACGTTGTCGAGGCTCCGGAAGTCCCGCCGCCATCAGATGACCGGACAAGACGAGACGAGACCGTGCCAGAACTGCCAACCGTTCTAGCGACACGTTCCGGCCGCGTATTTACGGATGCTACTCGAGACTGGCCAATAGATCCCAAATTCAGTTAGGGTTCGTAAAACAAATTTATTTTACGGATACTACTCGAGTCTGGCCACTATGCCACTGCGGTCTACCAAAATGGACGTGGTCTACCGTAATAATATTAAAGTAATAAAGTACAATAATATTAAAAGTATAATAAAGTATAATTTAAAGTATAAAAAAAATTTTATTTATTTTTTACTACCCTGTGACCCACTTGGGGAGGTGTTGCACAGCAAGTCGGGGGATATTTTCGATTTGCGGAGCGGAGCGACGGCGCCGAGGAGCGTAGCGACGAGTGCCGCTAGCACCGCATCACTGTACGATGTTTTTTTCAAATTGGTGGCTCGGTGCAACAAAAATGCAATTGATTGAAAAAATATCGTACAGTGATGCAGTGCTAGCGGCACTCGTCGCTACGCTCCTCGGCGCCGTCGCTCCGCTCCGCAAATCGAAAATATCCCCCGACTTGCTGTGCAACACCTCCCCAAGTGGGTCACAGGGTTGAGAAAATTGCATTTTTGTTCCCAACTATATAGGTAGAACACATAACATTGATAGACCGCATACTATGCTCATGTTTATAGTTACGTAGCACACAAAACGGAGGTAGACCGCATATTGGGAGATAGCCCAGCTTTCATATTGAACTTTATGAGTCTTTATTTGAGTATAGCGGTATATTACTTAGTGGCCAGACCCGAGTAGTATCCGTAAAATAAATTTGTTTTACGAACCCTAACTGAATTTGGGATCTATTGGCCAGTCTCGAGTAGCATCCGTAAATACGCGTTCCGGCCAGGCAGAACTGGAACCTGATACCGGCGACAGCGGCCGCGGTGACGGCGACGCAAGCCTGGTAGTGGAAGCCGTGGACGATCCCTCGGCCAAATCTAAAAAACGCACCACACTTTGGAGACGGACGAAGCGAATCGTCCGTCGCATGTTTTGTTGCGGCGTTTGAGCGGTTACCGCTAAGTTTGATTTTCACATTATCTAGTCGGCGAACTTTTGGTGTCCAACTATGTTTTTCCGTCGGACAAGTCATTAACCGACTTGTATACTTTGTTTATTTATAGACCAACCAAAATATACGATATTAAAAACGAATTCAACTTTCGAGAAACTCTAACGACAAATTTAGCTTTCTAACGACTTTTTATGTGGGGCTTATGATGGGGAATTTATACATCGTCGCTGTCTCCCGTGTACTAAATTCTTTATTTAATCGTACTTAAGGGGATTCGATACCGTGATTTTCTGTTTTTGTCTAACACACTCGCGACATAGTATTTTAGACGTGTTTTTTGCCAAACATACCAATTGATATAATGAAGCGATAAGAATTCTGAAAACAGATTTGAATTTGTCGTCAAGTCTACTTGAGATCGACTTTCCCACATTTTTGATATTATCCCCCAAATTTTTTAAAATGTCATATTCAAAAAGAGTAATTAAAAGTTCTGGTATTTCAATTTTTGGAGAAGTTAAAATCAAAAAATCAAAAATGTGGGAAAGTCGATTTCAAGCAGGCTTGACGACAAATTCAAATCTGTTTTCAGAAATCTTATCGCTTCAATAGATCAATTGGAATGTTTGGCAAAAAACACGTCTAAAATACTATGTCGCGTGTGTGTTAGACAAAAACAGAACATCGCGGTATCGAATCCCCTTAATACTTATCGACGGACGACTGCCTTATCGTATCATATTATTATCTTATCGGTGTTCCGAACACAAACGATTATAATATAATTAATATATGACATTTAATTTGTAATAGTTGTATTGTTTCATATTTCACATATTTGTATACAATATACGTATATACTACAATGTACACTAAATGAAATAACATTTGATTTAATTTTGATTTTTTCTTACCTAATTATTAATTATTCCGATATCTTAATAATTAGTATTTTTTATCATACCCAAATAGTTCGATAATTCGATAATACCGCTTATTGAAGTGTTTTACAGCAAAACTACCTATTACAAAAATTGTTGAGAAGAATTTTTTTAATAATCGTAAGAAGCCCGATTTTCGATATTTTTATTAATTAGTTGAATAATTAATCGATAAAAAGTTATAAATCGTGTTAATTTACCATATGATATTGGACGATAAGAATACGATATCAAAAATCGAATTTCTTACGAATGTTAAAAAAATTCTCCTCTACAATTTTCATATTAGGTAGTTTTGTTGTAAACCGCTTCAATAAGCAGTATTATATGAAGAACAAAAGTTTAGTTTTTATTTGTATATAATTCGGATACGAATAAAAAATATAAAACCAAACAAAATTAAATAATATTTGTCACAAAATATTGGATAATAATCGTTTTCTTATCTGGGGGTATTTATAAACTATGTTCAGGCGCATGACTGCCACAGAAAACTGGATTTGACCTACGGGCTACGATGCCTTACTGCCGTTATCGGTGGTGGTATGAACTATGAACATCTATTCTATTCTAGTATCGAGCGCTGTCGCTGTCTATAACGGGCGTAACAAATAACGAGCGTAATCAAACGTTTTTTTTTACCGAAAAACATGGTTTCGTATTTCACGAATACGGCTTATTGAAGCGTTTTACAGTATAAACACCTATTACAAAAATTGTAGAGGAGAATTTTTTCTAGAAACTCAAGAAGCCCGATTATCGATATCTTATTCCAATCGTCCAATATCGCATGGTAAATTAACAAGTTTCTTTTATCTTTTTATCAATTGATTATTTAACTAATTAATAAAAATATCGAAAATCGGGCTTCTTGCGATTCTAGGAAAAATTCTCTTCTACAATTTTTGTAATAGGTATTTATACTGTAAGACTCTTAAATAAGCCGTATTCCTGGAATTACGAAACCATGTTTTTAGGCTATATTTTGTCTACTAGTGCGCCCTCTTAAACGTGATATCATTATTACTTTTTTTTTTTATCAATTTTTGTTTAAATCATCAAAACTGTTTCCAAGTAAACCAATGAAAAACCCCCTTGGCGTACGGGAGTGAACTAGTGAGAGCCCAAAAAAGGGCTCATGGCGGTCAATCTGTTAAAGAATAAACGTTATGAAGAAACAAAAAAAACTACACGGTATAGTTACGATAAACTTAGGTTTTGAACTAGTTTATCTACTAGCGCACAATCAAAAAGTTACATTTATATGTAAAAATATTTATTTTATATTTTAATTAAAAATATTGCATAAATTATGAAATTACACCAATTAATATTACTTTATTTTATTAAAGTCCTAATATTGTTTCCAACTTGTGTTAAAAACTCTTCATCACCTAACTAGTTTTTAATGCGTTCGCATAACGTTTGGAGCCTCATATTTTTTTGAATAGATTTCGATTTTTTTATTTTTTGTCAATTGTCACTTGGTGCAATCTTTTCCCTATCGGCTCCAAGTTCCAACCTTGAATTTAATTTTTCGAATTAGCACCCATATTGTTGGGTGACTATGTCCTACCAAGTGTGTGAAGCGATTGTTCCACGATTCACATATATTATAAGTTCTGTGTTCATTATTGAATATGGCTTTATAGACATTTCACTTTTTTGCTAAGAATAAGGGTTAAGTTTTTCTTAATTTTATATTCATACCAGCACCAACTCTCTTAAACGAACCATTTACATATGTGATGTCGAAGTAATTAAATAATTCATTCTCTTCAGGGATATTTGTTAGTTTTAAAAACTCCATTCCTTATTTCCTTCGTAAACCCGTTCAAGGGGAAGGAACGCCAGACCATAGAACAAAAACCGGCCTTATTTGAACTAATATGCGATGGGGCCCGTCGACCGTGTTTACCACCTATAGCATGGTAAGTGGGGACACATAGCGTCATAGCCAGGTTTTGTGTATAAGGAATAGGCATATATTTTATTATCACTGTATTTAAAAATAGAATTGGGGAAATTTGTTCATGACCGTCTCGGTCGTGGATACTCAGAATTCAGATACCTACGAACTAAACGGTCTACTATCTTTATAGTTTATTACCTATAGTCATTACATTATATTATTTCTTTCCTATGTAATTTTATTGTTGATGTGTAGTCGTAAAGACGAACAGTTAATGTTTTTAAGTTTTATAGTTCGTTTTGAATTATTTTTATTAATACGTAATTGGCGTTTACATTATGTCAGCTTCAAGTACAAAATATTTAAGTGGTAGCCAAAAAAGAAAATTGAGAAAAGAAAAACAAGACAAAATACAAAAGTTACCAAAAATCGATACATTTTGTGTTAATTCTTCGGCTGCATACGAATTGCGTCCCCGATATAAAAATTGCGATTTGTGACATACTAATTACGTCCCGGGTTTTCGATACGACTATACTAATTGCGTCCCGGGTTTTCATACCATTAGTTTTTTTTTTATTAATTGACAAAAATGTAGAAACTTACAATAAAGCATTTTTTCATCTAAATTCAGAATGTATAAAAAATAATATTAATTTTTTACCGAAAATGTTATTTGCTGATTTTGAAAAAGCAATTCACTCGGCTGCATTATTTGTTTGGCCATCTGTCGAATTTAAAGGATGCCGATTCTATTTAGGCCAGAGTTGGTGGAGAAAAATTCAAGCTCCGGGTTTGAGTAATGAATATAATCTAAATTCAGAAATAAGCAATTACCTAAAAACATTTTTTGATCTCCCTTTTTTGAAACCTGAAGATGTAGAAAACTGTTTTACCGATGATATAGTATCAATTTTACCACAGAATAAAATAGTAGAAACATTTACAGATTATATTTTAAACACATATATAACCCCCGATTGTGACTATCCTCTTTCTTTAAGGGCAATGTATTCGGGATCAATATCAAGGACAACAAATAGCTGTGAAGCTTTCCATTCAAAGTTGAACGGTATGTTTTATTCTGCTCATCCAAATATCTATAAATTTATTGATGTACTTAAAAATGTACAAAAAGATACTTACATAAAAATTCGCAGCAGTAGTCACAGAAAAAAAAATAAGACGTGAAATATGTGAAAAACAAGAATTTTTAAGAAATCAAATGATGAAACAGGACGTTAACGAAATTACACGTTTTGATTATGTTAAAACCGAATCGTTCAAATTTTTACAGAGCCATAAATAATATTACAATAACATGTGATAACTATAACCTTATAACCTAACTTATATTTTTTGAAATTATTTTTATTATTATTAATTTTATTAATTATTATTATATATTTGACGACGAAAACAATATTTTTGATGTACATAATTACGAAACGATAGAAAACAATATTTTTAACCTACCTTTAGCAATATAATATTTAATGTTGCTATTGACAGTCCTAAGTCTGTATTAAATGGGAAGAAAAATAATGTATTTATATCGGACGCAATTAGTATAGTTGTTAAATATTATCGGGACGCAATTAGTGTAGTTGTTAAATATTATCGGGACGCAATTTGTATGAAAAAGGGATCTTGGGACGCAATTCGTTTGCTGCGAATTCTTCAGCTGGTTCTAAGAAAGGTATTATATTAAAAATATATTTAATTAACTATTGTTAACTATTAGGTATACCATTATTAAGTATATAAATTAAATATATACCTCGATAAAAACAATTATGTATTTTATAGATGTATCTCAAAATTCTGAAATACAGAAATAACAGATTTACCAATTAAATCGACAGTAATTAAAATTGATAATGATGAACAGCAAATTCATAACTCTAGTACAGGTAATAAAATACGTCATAACATATTTAAATTTTTAGTATTATTATTTTATATTTAATATAATTTTTAATAATCATTTATTTTCAATGTTAATTTATAATTCTATGAAAAAAGTAGAACATTTTTAAATGAAATTATTGATTCAAAATTAACATGCTTATGTGACATAAATTGACTATGCATATTGTAATACTGCAATTATGATATACACGTATATCATAATTGTATTAGATTATATTTAGATTTAAGAAAATAAATTAAATAGTACAATATTATAATCAGCTGAATAAATACAAATTATCTATACATTATTC